GATAATTATATAAATAGTGACATTTAGGAGTTGATTGCGAATGCAATAAAAAAAAGAGGTTAATACCATGAAAAACCTCAAACTGGTATACCTGTAACAAATTTACCCTTAGTTTATTTTTATTAAATTTTACTGTCAAATTTCTTTGTTAAATGACACGCGGCAATTGACTGATGTGCCAGTTTTATGTTTTAACCTTCCTTTATCACAGGTGTACTAGTTTGTGATTTTTTTGGTATGAATCCAATTTAATGGAAATTGACAGAAGGTAAATTTATTATAAATGTACCAGTTTGGAGTTTTTTATGGTCAAAATATTAGTTTGGGGTAAATTTGTCACATATGTATCAATTAAGGGTTTTTTGTGGTAAAAAAATTAATTTGAGATAAAATTGTCACATGTGTACTAGTTTGTGATTTTTTGTGGTATTAACCCTTAAAAAAACATACCAAACAAACTTGATATTAACATTTTTTTTTAAAATCAAGAGCTAAGCCTGAAGGCATCACTAATGTTCTCGAAAAACTTATTGACCTAATAACGCAACGGAGCCAGGATTGTATGGGCGCCTTAATTTATGAAATGCAGAAAATCATTTAATCCAAAAATAAAGTAAATGATCATCAAAACAACAAATTGATATATCTTATTTTAGAGTAAAATTATTGACAGAGTGTTAAGAAGATCTACTTAATTCAAAATGAAAGTAAAAAAGAATAATGGATCTTAATTGTAATTATATTATTTATGACCCAAATAATAGCTAAAAATTCACTAATAAGTGAAATGAATTTGATAATTAAAAAAATTGAAAATATATATCCGTAAGGTGAAATAGTATACCAAATTTACTAATTGACAAATAAACTGGTCAAATAAAATTTAATTCTTTCTTACAGATCTTTAATAAGAGGTTGGAATTAATCCTTCTTGAATGCAATTTCGATTGGCTCGAATCAATTAGGGCCATATTTTGGATGCTTAATTTATCATCAAGAAGTGAGGTTATCATTGTATTCCATTTTTGAAAGTGAATGTTATTAATGAGATTATTACTATTACTATTATATTATATTATAATCTCGATATCTTCTTTTATTCCTTGATTATCTTGCTTCAGAAATTGGATCTCTCGTTTTTAATGTTTTTATTTCATAATTGAGTTCTTAAATAGTAATGGGTTTCTCTTCTTTCTTAAACTTGCTAAATACTTCTTGTAAGATTACCGTTTATTCATTTTGAGATTCTCGCATTTATGTAAGTTCTTTTAGCCTTGTTAAAATATTCTTTTCGAATTCTTACATTTTCTACATTTTCTATGATATCAAATAAATGTTTTTTTAAGCCAATAAATAAATAAATAAATAAATGTGTTTTCTCATCTGTCGCTATAACATTGATAAGTGGACTCACGCAAGGATTTGAATTGAAACATTTTCTAAGCGTTATAAATTTGCTGCGGTAATCGTCTCTCCGTACGATATATGAACATAATCATTATTTCCTCCAAATAATTTTGGTAATTCTGCTATAATTCTTTCTTTCCAATAGGTTTGATTGTAATCAGTCCAAGTCAAATTTTTCAATAGAAATACATCGTTGTACCATCGAAAGTCGTTTAAGGTTGGAAAAATAAAATTTAATAATTAGTCAGTATTAGAGTCACCCTTGTAGTTAAAGAAAAATAGCAGTCTATGCGTTAAGAGAAGATTAGAAAAATACCACAAAAAACCCTACACCCAAAATGTTTTTATACTTGTACCAGTATGATAAAAATTCATCCGTCTACCTCAAAAAATCCTAAACTTTAACCACCATAACACCAATACCCGGAATATGTTAGTTTAGTCTCATTGATAGACATTATAGCTAAGTTTATCACTTATAAAAAATGCCAGTTGAATAAAAAAAAAATGGAAGAACCCAAAAACAAAGGGAAAATTGTCCAAAAAATCCTAAACTTATTGTACTTTTGCCAATTTAGTTCTAAACCTTTTAATTGTGCCAATTGAGTCACAAACCTTTTCACATTTTGCCAATTGAGTCCATCCGGCCAAATTGACAGGAACTCGCCGATGTAAGCGCCGACCGTCCTAAGTGGCACAATTGAGTTTACGTGACCAAATTGGCCGGAACTCGCCCAACGAGATCCCGACGTACACGTGCTCAACTTCAGTGCCTTTGTGTATTTATCACCTCATCGTCACAACCATCCTCAGCAACATCGGCAAAGTCCCGGCAAGCCATCCCTCTCATCACATCTTCGCACAGGACCCTGTGCAGACTAGATCCACTCTACGAATATATGGTGTTTGCTTTTCTTGTAGGTTTTGCATTGCTTGACTATTTTGGCCGGTCTTTACTAGAGTTTCCAGCCCTCACCGAATTGGGCGTGGGCTGCCTTTGCTAGTGGAGAAGGGGGAGAGGGTGACTGGTGAGGGCGACCCTTGCTAGGCTAGCGAGGTTAACGCTCGCTTATGCGAGGGTTGCCCTCGCCTGAGGCCAGCAACCTTCGTTGAGAGGCGGAGGGAAAAAGAAAAAAGAAAAAAAAATAAAGAAAAGAAGAGAAAAGGAAAAAAAGAAAAAATAAAGAAGAAAAATAGAAGAAAAGAAAAAAAAGGAAAAATAAAATAAAAAATAAAAATAAATTCAAAAAATATTAAAATATTATTAAAAATTGTCCATGTCAACGCTTGCCGTACCATGTAAGACAACTGGCATTCACATTAGAGATTTCCAGCCAAGATTGGTCGGATGGATTCAATTGGTAAAACGTGAAAATGCTTAAGATTTAATTGTCACAATAAAATGTTTAGGATTGAATTGGCAAAAGTGTAATAGGTTTAAGACTTTTTGGACAATTTTTTCCAAAAACAAAGCACCACAAAAGCTCTAAAAAAATTGAAGTAACTGAATTCAACTTGGAAAAGCACATTTATTTTACCTCACATAAACTTATGAAACATGATTATCGTTCCATTAATCATTCTCTCATGAAACCTTTTCTCTCATGGCTTTTCAACTCAAGTTAATAGATAATGTGGTTTCGATTATCTGGGGAGTCGTCTATCTTAATCGCAATGTCTAATATAAATGGACAATTGGACGAATAATGATGTGAAAGTAATTTGCATGTGAATAGATTAAGATCCATTTTTTTTTTTGCTAAGATTAAGATCCATTACACATAATAGATTAAGGTACTTTTTCATATTTGAAAAGCTTTTTTTGTGGAACTCGATGTTGTAAGAATACTTTAATATGATTTAAATGTCTTGTATCGACATTGTCAATGGTATAAGATGTTTGGTAAAGAGTAAAAGTCAAATACTAAACGTCACCAAAATGAAAAAACCGAAATATCTATATTTAAATAATGTGCGCATTATAAAGGAACAGATAATTAATGGATGTAAAATTTCTTATTCTACATGTCTTTGATAACCACGCAAACCAATTTTAGTGATTATCCACATTAGTGTTGTTATGTTTTGTCCGACTAATCTGTCAAAATATTTCGATACTATATGGTTAAAATTATTTTATAAGATTTAATTACAATAAAACACCGATATTATATTGCAATCAAGAAAGAAAGATTGATATTTATATTCTTTTATGAATTAGCATATTCTTATTGTAGTTTGAATTTGTAACTAATCTTGCCCTCAAACTAGTTATCAATAAAAGCCTAACTCCAGAAAGACAAAACCCCAAGCCTAAGTTTCAAAGGACTTGGACTCCTAGTTCGAGTCAACTTCCAGCATAGTCAAACAGTGGTTGTTAATTGAATCTAATCTGATAAATATAAGAAACAATCTCGTTTCCCTTATTCAAATCACCATCCATCTCTCTCTCTCTCTCTCTCCCTTTCTCTGCTCACAGCAAGAACTTCGTTTCTGAAGGCCCTGTGCTTTCCAGAGGGAGGATCAGGTTTCTTTAAGTTCTCACTAATATTTCCTTAATTCCGAAACTGGGTTCCTCATTGTTGCTTCGTTTAGCGAAGTTTCAATTTGTTGTTTTCAACTACATGAGCTCTGTTGGGTCATCGACGTTTTGAGTTACATCTCTTGCATTCTGTGTTACAGTTAAGCTTCATGGACATTGAATAATGTTGATCACGTGTTTTGCTCTTTGAGCTTGTTTCACTAGGGCGCTAAATGTCCCTTTTGCATGTCGGGGATTGATTTGATATTGGTTCTTATAAGCATAATGTCAGATAGATTGCAAAGTGCCCAAATTTTGATAAATTTATGGACTTTCTGTTTTTGGGCTTTTGACCGATCTTTGCTCGTCTTCTATTGGTGAACTGATGATGCAGTGTTGATGGATTAATATTCTTTTCTTGGCCTGTACTGTGACTGATCACTTGTGGTGTTTAGGGGAATTTCTTTCATGGGCACAAAATTGTTTTAGTCCAAAATAGGCTTGACACAGAGCGAAATCGCGGGAAAATAATTAGGAAGGAAGAGCTTAAAAAATAGTTCCTTCATTTGTTTTAAGGAAATCCCATGTGAAAAAGAATATCCAAGATGTTAAATTTTTTTTAGCAGATTTCATGCGTTTGTAGTTGATGGAATAGGCTCCTAGTGTGAGAGCTTTTCTGTGAGTGAAGCAGCACTGATTTTACTAAGAAGTTAGGAGTAGGAATATCCGTCGTTTAGCCTTCTTTTTATGCACTCTAGTCGACACTTTTCCAGTACCATAGTCATCTTCGTCGGGAAGGTCCGGCAAGAGATGTGTTTTTTCGTTTTGCAATGTCTGGTGATGTCATGAGAGAGAGAGAGAGAGAGAGAGAGAGAGAGAGAGAGAGAGAGAGAGTATCATTCATATTATCTCTTTACATTCTCTTAGAATTCAATCTCTACTTACAATTTATTCCATAAGAACTTCTCTACCTTTTGATTGTTGGAATACTTGGCATAACTTTTTTGTCTCGCAGGGTAGGCCCACTGGAGAATCAGATTGGTGCACTTCTAGTGTAGCCAATAGGTGTGACATGGCGATTACTAATGACAATACTTGGCTGGCCGACATGGTCGGAGACATAAGCGGGAAGATTGAAGGATTCTACATGGATGTGGAAGATGTCATGTGCATGGTGATCTTTCGCTCCTCTTCGCAGATTGGATTTTATCACTCGTCTCTTCTCCATTAGTTAATTTAAGTGTCACTCATTAGTAATGTCTCTTACCTTCATCTAGTTCCAAGCAAATTTTTCAGTAGACTATGGTGATCGTCTTCATCGTGATTTATCCATGTCACTATATCTCGACCTTCAAATTACTAATTGAGTAGATGCAACGACATCTCTCTTGTCATGCTTCTTCATGTGCTGTCCTGTTTAATTGTTGAAATCCTCGCACGACAGGACGCGGTGAATTATGTTGAGAGCAAGCTAAAGAAGGTGGGTGCCGATGTGAGAAGCTTTTGCTTGGAGTTCGTGCAAGAAGTTTTCACCTCGTCTCTGGAGCAGGCGAGTGAAGAGGTACTGTCCGATATGCCTCCGTTGGAAAGCTCTGATAGCGACACAACAGCTGACACTACTAAAGGAGACTATCTCAAAGAGGGATCTCGTAGTATAAACAACAACTCCGACGGGGACTCTGAGAGCTGTGGTGACGCCACACAACATGTGCCAATCTCTCAAGCTAAAGCAACGCCATTGAAGTCTGAGGACGGATATGAATGTGCCTCTTTGATGGAAGGACTTGGGGACGATTTCAATGATTTGGATACGTGCGTTGACAGCAGAAGTACAGTCAAGTCACTTTATTGTGTTAGTCCAGAAGAACATGGAAGCATCATTCCTAAGGTCACTTCCTCATATGAATTTGTAGAAGCAATCGGTACGTACTTCAAAGCTACCATACGTGCATGTAATTGTGCAATAACAGCTAAACACAGAGCCTGCTTCTAGATTTCTGCTAAACGTGCAACAGTTTAAGATGATTCATTGATGCCAAATCGACAGCTCTATGTCATGTGCCATGTGTTTCTCGCTTTGTCTGGTTAACTAGTTGTTTGGCCTCGCGCATTATGGAAGATGCAATGATTTTACATGCCATTCACTTCCATAAGAGAAGCATCGTTTTCATTATCATCAGGTGATCTACTGCATAAAGGAAACCATTTAGTTTGCTTCATTAGAGTTACTGTTGTATAGCTTTTCTACTGTCCTAAATAACCCCCTTCTGAAATTTCTTTATTGGAAAGTATAAGTCGGAAATGTTAGTAATGATGCACCTATGCGAATTAATATTTGCACAGGCTCATGACAAGGAAAAAGCTAAAATCGAACAATTAGAACAACACTGGAAACACGTCAAGCTGCCTGATGTCATGGTTTCTTGCTTTAAATGGTGTTTGATTGTCAAATATTTGTCACAGCAGGATCGGATAGCTTAGCTCAAGAGCCCCAGTCCGTCATTGAGTTGATCAAGCTTGATGAGAGCTGCATCATTGTAGAGACCAGAGAACTTTGTTCGGCTCATAACGAGATAACTGAACAAAGAACAATACAGGTATGTCACCTTCACTCTGTATGAACTAGATCTTCAGCACACTGTCTCGATCACTGGTAACATTGTCTCCTGGTCACTATTCTACACCATCTTCTTGTCTCAGAACAAAGTTTTGGAGAATATGGCATCCGCGATGAGGGACTATGAGTTTGATGAATCTGAATGGGAGATCATATAGCTGAATATCGATAATTATCGGAAGCATCGCGGGTACTTAAATTTAAGTATCATTAGTGCAGCATCAACAAAACGAGAGTTCTCAGACATCCGGCTACTGGATTTTCTACTAGGATATTGGGGTATTGATAGTCTTGTTCTTTTTGCCAAGGGCAAGTTTGTTTTCATCAAATTTTCCCCATACACCTATACTTTTAATTTTTTGTTTTCTCTATATGATATCTTTTTTTTTTGGTCGAAACTCCATATGATATCTTGACAGCCCGAGAATGGCAGGTATAAATTTAAGGAATACTAGCAAAAATCTGCGTGGTGCCGAGCAACAAAAATTAGATTTTTTATTTAGCACAATTTTTTCAATCCAAACAAAAGCTCATATCTTCATTTTCCTAGGATAAATGGGAAAAAAGAAGAAGTTTGTTGTCTAAGATGTTGATATTTGAACTTGACATCCCTTGAAATTGCTTTTGGCTCATCTTATCATCTTATGTTAAGATCATAAAATAAATGACGAGGAAATAGATTTTTCTTTGTACATAACATTAATGATGTAGAGATCGACTAAATATAAATATGATAGATACCATAGCATTTGACTTTAACACCAAAATACATCTATTATATCATATTCTTTCATTGAATAAGTAGATTCAAGAAAAAAAAATGATTGTAATATTTGATTGAGAATAATTTAGAAGACTATCGAAACTTAAAAAAAAAGTGTAGACTATAGTATAATAAAATACACATGTATGAAGTAATCCTGGAATATGAAATGGAAAAGTGCAATATTATGTTCAATGATAGGTTGAAATCCTAAATGAGCAAAAACTAAATAAATCATTCTTATATCAAAGAAAAAATAAAATAAAAAAAAAGTGATGAAAAAATAGGCCTCATCTTTATTTAGAGTAGTATAAAGGTAAAAAAAATCGATATTAAAAAAAATAAAATAAAAAAACAAAAGCGAAGTCAAGCTCAAGGATCTGATCCTAGCGCTTGTTGGAGAAGCACCATGTCCCAACTCCATTGAGCTATCACCATTCTTTCTACTCTCTTATGCAACTTTTTACTACGTATAAAAGAGACTCGTGCTAGGGGGTAAAAGGACGAAATCGGAGTCTGAGATGTGGCGAATCTCGGTAGTTGCGCCGGGCTTTCTCTCTTGGTACCCGACATTAATGTATCTAAAAGATTTTGCAAAAATTCATTCATCCGCGCGGCGTTCCGCAGTATTAAAGTTAATAATACTTCGCCGATTCAGTGAGATTTTCAAATTCAGCCTTTTCATTTTTTTTTTTGATTCGCGAGCTAAAAATATCCTTGAGAATGTATTGCATACATGGCTTCAAAGTACTTTTTTTAGGCCGTTCAGAATTGGAATTGGAGGTTATTGAAAGCTGTAACATAGTTGTGGTCAAGATCAAGATTTTCCATTTCAATGAGTTGAGAAGTTAAGGGCACGAATGGTAACCATTCGCTCCGAAATCAAATTCTGCCGAAAATTGATTTCCGAATTCTTGTCGAAATTGATTTTTGGAGGAGAAATCTGTTTGATAAAACATAACTAATTCTGCTCAAGAAATTGATTTCTGGAACAGAAATCTATTTTGATTTGTTGATTTTTTTGCACCTAAAAAAATTTAAATTTCACTCAAAGTGGGTGGTCACAGGTATTCTAAGTCATTCTATGAAGTTTTAAAATTTTTGATTTTTTGATTTTTTTGGGCACCTCAAAAAAATTAAATTTCACTCAAAGTGGATGCCCAAAGGTATTCTAAGCCATTTTGTGAAGTTTTGAAATTTTTGATTTTTTGATTTTTTTTCACCTCAAAAAATTAAATTTCATTCAAAGTAGGTGCCCAAAGGTATTCTAAGCCATTTCATGAAATTTTGAAATTTTTGATTTTTTTATAGTTTTTGAAAAAATTCACCAAATTTCCTATTTTCCGAAATCGACTTTTTTTATTTTCTCGGAAAATTTTATGAATTTTTCTGGAATTTTTCAATTTTTATGCATTTTTAAAAAAAATTAGTGAGATCTCAAAATGTGTTGTAAAAGCCACGAAAAGAGAGAAAATAGGGAGAATGCATTTCGGAAGAGAGAAGCTACAAAAAGTAGCTTCTCTTTTTCTTGCCCAAAACTCATTCCGGAATAAAAATGCATTCGGAATCAAGTATTTTCAACAAACGCATTTTTATTCCGAATACAAAAATTGCTCGTAACGCATTCGGAAATTTTTAACAAACGCATTACTTTGAGAATGCATTCGAGTAGGATTTACCTAGAATGGATTCCATGCGCGCCCTAATAGGCCGCGCAGTGAAGAGTATGCTTAGGGGGAGGGGCAGATGCTTTTTGGGGTTTTCTTTTTGACTAATTATATTTTCACACCTTACTAGGTTCTTTCACACCTATTATAAAAATGTTTTACATATTAAGGTTCCGTTTGTTTCGGAAACGAGCTGTGCCGGAAAATATTTTCGAGGAAACTTATTTTCATCCTATGTTTGCTTGTATTTTGCAGATAATATGAAAGTCATTTTTTGATATTTGTTGCAGAAAAGAAATAAAATACACATTTGAGAAAAAGTCTCGAGTACAACCCGAGGTCCTAGATTTGGGCATTGGCAATCTGGGCTTGAGTGCCGTCGTCTCGGGTCTAGTCTCTAGGGACCTGAGTGCAGGTGCGGGCGACCCAGACGTGGGAGCCAAGTACTTGGGCCCAGCCACCAAGGACCCGGGCATAGGCACTAAGGTCTTGGGCTCGACCGTCGGGAATCATGGCTTGGCCTCGAGAGTTTAGAGCCCAAGCACCGGGGTCCCTGATTTGCCTATAGCGAGAGGACCCCTGTTGGACTTGGGTTCAAACGCCACGGTCTCAGGTCCGGAAGTCAGGGTTTGAAAGAAAAAAGTCAATTTCTTGAATTAGTTTTTCGTCCATCGTGAAAAGATTTTTGTCGATTCATTTTTCACAAGCGATCTAGATACCGGAAAAATGAGCAAGATATTTTCTTATAGTAATTTTTCCACGAAATAATGGACCCCGAGTTGTAAAGTAATCGTGAAAGAATACGAAAGAGAAGATTCTAGATATTAAGATGTGGAAAAAAGTTATTATTGTTGTGTAAATATCATTACCCTTTCTCATAGGTTTGATATGTTGCTCCGTCTCAGAATTTTCACTAATGTTTGGGGGTTTCTAAGGTGGATGGACAAACTCTTTCAAATATATACTAGGGTTAATACCACGAAAAATCCTAAACTGATACACTTATGACACATTTACCCCAAACTATTTTTTTGACCCATAAAACCCCAAACCAGTACACCTTTGATAATTTTAACGAACTATTTTTTGACCACCAAAACTCCAAAATGTACACCCGTGATAATTTTATTCTCGAACTATTTTTGACCACCAAAACCCAAACCCAGTACACACGTGACAATTTTACCCCGAATTAAAATTTTAATATTATTTTTTATTTTTTTCGAATTTTTATTTATTTTTTATTCTTTTCTTTTCTTTTTTTTTTTTTTCATTTTCAACCTCTCGGCCGGTCGCCGGTCCGAGTACCGACGTAGGCGGAAGCCGGCCTCGCCGATGTCGGGCGACCCTCGCCGGCGTCGGGCGAGGGCCGCCCTCGCCGGATCCGCGAGGGCGACTCGCCCTGCGTCGGGCGAGGGTCGCCTCCACCGGCCGGCGGAGGGCCGCCCTAGCCCGACGCAGGAGGGCAGCCCTCGCTCGATACCGGCGAGGGCGGCCCTCGCCGCGTCGGCGAGGGCGGCCCGCGGCCGGGCGAGGCGGCCTCGCCGCGTCGGGAGAGGGCGACCCTTGCCCTACTTAGGCGACCTCACTGCGTCGGGCGAGGCGGCCGACGCCGGCATAGGGCGGCCCTCACCAGATCCGGCGAGGGCGGCCCTTGCCGGCTTACTGCCTCGCCGGTCGCCGGGACCGGCTAGAGGTTGAAGGTGAAGGAAAAAAAGAAAAAAAAATTCAAAAAAATAATATTAAAAATTAGTTCGGGGTAAAATTGTCACATGTGTACCTTGGGTTTTTGCGTATGTTTAGGATAAAATTGTCACAGGTGTACCAGTTTGGGGTTTTTTATGGTCAAAAAAATAGTTTGGGGGTAAATGTGTCACAAGTGTACTAGTTTAGGGTTTTTCGTGGTGTTAACCCTATATACTAAGGGTCCGTTTGTTTCGCGGAAAGCATTTTCCGGGAAAGCACTTTCCGGGAAAGCACTTTCCTCATTTTCCTCATTCGCCGGAAAATGAGTCAACGGAAAATATTTTCCTAGTCAATGGAAAATGATCTTTTACCAAAGTTTAAATTCAGGAAAATGATTTCCCCTTTGAAAGAATCGGAAATCGTTTTCCAAAATATGACTGCTATCGGTGCTTTAACCCGAAGCTCTACGCTTGAGCATGAAAACCCTAATGTTGGTTCCCGGGTGGGTCGGCTCGAGACCTCGGTGCCTAGGGCCCGGGCCCCCGTGCCCACACCGGGTCCATCGAGGCCGAGCCCGAACCCCTGATGCCCGTACCCAATGCTCCGACACCCAAACTCGAGTCCATAAAAGCCGTGCTCAGGCTCGGGTCCTTAATTAATGAAACGTTTGTTCTTATAAAAATATTTAATTAAAAAAATCAAAAATTTATTTATTTATTATTTCTTTAAAAAATCATTTATTATTATTATTTTTAAAAAATCGATTTATTATTTATTCTTTTCTTTTCTTTTTTCTTTCCTTTCTTTTTTCCTTCCTTTTTCTTTTTCTTCTTCCTCAGGCTGGTCGCCGGCCATGGCGACAGCCTGCGAGCTCGCGGTGGCCTCTGGCGGCGAGCCTCAAGCTCATCTGAGGCCGGTGATCTCGAGGCTCGGCCGATCCAAGTGAGCCCGGGCTTGGCCAAGGCTGGCAAGCTCGCGGCTCGCTAGATCCAAGCGAGCTCGAGCTCCATCAATCGGGCTCGACTGAGACCAACGAGCTCGCGGCTCACCAAATCCAGGCAAGCCAGCGCTCGTTCGAGGTCGGCGAGCTCGAGTCTTCTGTGGCCATCGCAGGGCGAGCCTCGAGCTCACTGGCCATTGCTGGCCGGTCCCAGCGGAGGAAAAAGAAAAGAAAAAAGAAAAGAAAAAAGAAAAGAGAAAAGAGAAAATTAATAATTAATAAAAAAATTCCAATTTTTTTAAAAAAAGAAAAGAAAAAATAAAAAATGAGAAAAAATAAAATAAAAAAATCGATTTTTTTAAAATAAAAAGAATTAAAAATTATTTTGCTTGAAATAAAGTCATGAGATTGAAATCATTTTCCAATGATATCAAAATATCAGAAAATGATTTCCATCGTATATCACCAAACAAAGGAAAACTAAGCGTTTTCCTAGAAAATGATTTTCCGGAAAACAATTTCCTTTATCATTAAGTTTTCCGCGAAATAAATACACCCTAACCCTAAGTGACATGTTAATATTAATATGACGTCGTGTATTCTTTCTTCATAACATGCGAAGAAATCATGGCAAGCGAGAACACTTCATGGGAGTACGTGAAGTGAACCTCCATAGGAGATTTGTTTCTAAACCGGCCCATTGAATAAAGTGAACGAAACTGAAATATCGTATGGTGTATAGATCATGTAAGTCAAGTCCTTCTTAATCGTTGATCATGTGAACCCCACGACAGAATCTATATAATTAATGGTTGAGATGACATTGGTTGACATGATTTGTAGATCATGCAATAATTTCTCCTGATAGAGGGATTATTGGTGTATGAGAGAGGATAACACACGAATAGGTCAAATGCTTTAAAAAGGTATTGCGCCGATAGCTCAATATTTTATCCTTGATTTAACGGCGAATTTATGAAATTTCTTTGAAAGGGGGAGGTCGTGAGTTCAAATTATAATGAAATTAGGAGAAAAAAATGAGTCCATCAGGAATAATAGGGCATTATCAATTGGATTTACATAGTACACAACCTGTGTAATCTATCTACCATAGATGCCACCCTCATCACCATTTTTTTTTTGGTCGAAACCTTCATCACCATTGATAAGGTACTTATATTTTGAAAATTCTAAATCAATAGTGATTGTGTAAAAACATCATACATTATGTTTATTTGAAATTAATCCAATAGTAAAGAGAGTACTTTACAATTAAAAACATCATGAATGATTGAGTATAGTCCAAGATGGAAAGGAGATCATACATGATGTTTATTTAAAATTAATCCAATAGTAAAGAGAGTACTTTACAGTTAAAAATATGATGAATAATTGAGTATAGTCCAAGAAGGAAAAGAGATCTACTTGTGCCCCACAAAATAATATAATTTAAGATCGACAGTATTAGATCCACATGGTCTTTAACCTATCTCTCTTCTAAGTTTCGACTAATAATTCCTTTGACGATTCTTTAAATATACCAAATCATGCCTAATCAGTAGCTAAATAATCAATCTTTGATGGATTACTTCACTTATAATGGCCAAAACTACATATCTCTAATGTCTCTTTGATGGTGTCAATGGCGCATCCCAGAACGAACACACTCGCTCGTCAACCTATTTTGTATACACATACACATTTTTTTCATCAAATTTGATGGCCTGCCCAATTTCTTTTATCAATTACTTTCCAACCAGAGTTAAAGAAGTGGTGACAGAACAATTTCTTTATTTCCCGATCGCCTGGAAGGGATGGAAGAAACATTTTGTTTTTTCTTCGACAATTTCTTATCGCGACTGGATCTATCGGCGCGATGCGAATCCAAATAAAGCTCTCACCATCAGTTCAAGAAGATAAAGAAGGAACACTACAACCTATGGAAGTGAAAGGGAAGAGTTTCCATGCATTGGACGCTTATGAATCGAAAGGGTTTCGATATTGACTACGTACCAGCTTCTAGATGATGTTACCCATGATGTGGAGTTACTTAAACCCTAGGAAAGTGAAAGGGAAAGTGCTTTGAATTTGCGGGTCCCGTGTCTGCTTGGCACGCGGGACGATTCTGACCCCTTTCGGTGCGTCTTCCTATCTGTATCGCTACAATTATTAAAGTATTATTGGAATCGATTAGGGTTCTTGAGGTTTTGTCAATGAATATGCATGCATTGATGTAAGGCTACATTTGCCCTCCATCCCTGATTGTAGGAAGCTTCCTTCTCTGATTAGTAGGTTAAAATACTCGTATGTTAATCATTTGCAAACATGACTAAACATAAATATAAGTGATGTCTACTTTTATAACCCATCAGTTAAGAATTAGTCGAATGAACTTTCAATTAACTGGGGTTGGAGTAAAACACGACCTTGTAATTGAAAGCATCGTGCGCACGGAACACTAGGCATCTATTTTAGCTGATTGTAGAGATATTGTTAGTTCCACTTATTGGTCTGCGATTCATCTTGTGTTTTGGCTTATTTTTAAGCGAAAAAATTACTCAATGACTTTTCTATCGAAAATTTAAAATACTATTAAAGTTTAGAATAAAAAGAAAGAAAAATCCGCACTCAAATCTAGTTGTCAATATTCGTAATTATGAAAAGTTTCGGGGTTTTTTCGTTAGACAAACGTCAATTGCTGTACGAAAAACTTTTGATCAATACTAATCATTCACTTACTATGATCTCTCTCTCTCTCTTTCTTCCTCTCAATCATCTCTCTTCCTTACACACACGTTACTTTTGCTTGCTTTTATCGGTCTAGGTCAACAAAGGCATTGACATGTAGAAAAGTGCACGAAGAAAAGTAGAATATAATTAGAGACATTTTCAGACCAATCTAGTTCTGTTTAGCTTTAGAAGAATTTACCAAGTAAATGCTCAAGCTATATACGACATGGTCACAGAAACATCTTTTCCTAGGTGTGAACAAACCCTAATTGAAGCCGGAGAAATATCAAGGAACAATTGACGTACCTTTTTGTTTAGCTTTTCGACATCATGTGCAACACGCACTCCACATTGACTATGCTCATCCCCAACTTTCTTTGCAATCAATTAATTTCACGTTCACTTCGATGAAGAGATGATTACACAAATGATCCTCGAACTTTGCTCAATGTACAATGTTGTCTTTGAACTTTTAATTTATTTAATGTGGTCCCTGAACTTCTAGTAAATTGTTCAATATAGTATTTGGACTATATGAAAATTTCCAATCTTATCCTTTTATTAATTCAAGTTAACAGGATTTTGCTGATTTGGTTTCGAATCTAGTAAATTTGAACAGTAGACAAAAAAATGATGTTACACATGAATTATCCATGTAAAATATTCAACTCAGGATATAATACTCCATATCTTTAAATTAAATGGCTATTATTTTTTCCAAATTGAACAAGTTAAACAAATTATATGGACTATTATATTCTAATTTTAGTTGAATACCTTACGTGAAAAATCCACATGTAATGTTATTTCTTTGTCCAACGTTCAAACGTACTGGATTAGAAGTCAAATCAGCAAATTCCGTTAACTTGAATTAATGGAAGGACGACATTAAATATTTTCATATAATCCAGGGACTAAATTGAATATGTACAAAAAATTCAGGAACCATATTAAATAAAATAAAAGTTCAGGAACGACATTACATTTTGAGCCAAAGTTCAGGGACCATTTGTGTTATTTTTCCTTCTATAAATACACCTAATGCATCTACTCATTCTCTATAGCACAAACATATCTCTTCTTTAAAAAAATGCCTTTCAAACTTGCAAAAAATTTCTCCATATGGTTGATACTTGTCTTGTGTGCATGTGCATGCACATCGGACGCGGCGTCCCGTGCCTACAACATTCCGTCCGCAACTAAAAAGTTCGAGGAGTGGATGACTAGACACGGGCGCGACTACAAAGATGTCGCCGAGAAGGCGAAGCGTATGAAGATTTTCATAGAAAACCTGCGGTTCGTTGAGGAGTTCAATCGCGCAGCAAACCGGACTTACAAGGTCGGACTGAACAAATTCTCGGATTTAACCGACGAGGAATTTGTGGCAACATATACTGGATACAAATCGCCATCATCAACACGCAGGAACTCCTCCCAAGTCCATTCTTTTGAGTACCAAGGTTTGAACAACATCCCGGAGAGCGTCGATTGGGTCAAAAAAGGTGCTGTCAACCCTATAAAGAACCAAGGCCGATGTGGTAAAAAATCTACTGCCGACTTAGAAGCCTATCCTAAGATATGCGAGCAATTACATTGCCCATATTTATCCAAGTTGTCATAAAACAATTGATCTTACTAGTGAAACAACGAAGAAAATAATTCTTCCGACACCTTAATATGGCATCATATAGCCATGTGACCTTCGGCTTCAAGTTTTCTTCATTGAGTTATATCACAACACGATTCACTATCCTCTGTGTACAGGATCTTGCTGGTCGTTCTCCGTTGTAGCGACGGTGGAAGCAATCACACAGATCACCTCTGGCGTGCTACTGAACCTGTCTGAGCAGCAACTCATAGACTGCGCCACCGACGGCAACCAGGGCTGCCAAGGTGGCTGGATGGACAACGGCTTCGAGTACATCATCAGCAACAAAGGCATCAGCTCCACATCGAACTATCCATACGTTGGGGTCGACGGAACCTGCGACGTGCAGGCCGAATCTGTCGCCGAGGCCAAAATATCGGACTACCGGGACGTCCCCCCGAACGAGGATGACATGCTGAAGGCCGTGGCGATGCAGCCGGTGTCAGTAGCGCTGGACTCGAGCGGGCCTGCGTTTAAGAATTATAAAGGCGGGGTCTTTACTGGCCCGTGCAATAACAATCTGGACCATGCGGTGACGGTCGTCGGGTACGGGACGGACGACGGGGGGATCGAGTACTGGTTAGTAAGGAACTCTTGGGACGTTTTGTGGGGCGAGAATGGGTACATGAGAATTCAGAGGAACTCTGGGGTTGAAGGTGGCCTTTGTGGAATTGCCTCGAAAGTTTCTTATCCCGTTGCGTAAGTACTTATCTACGAGATTATGGCTTCGAGCTCATGTGTGTTAGTAGGCTAAATTTGGTCGATATGAACCGAGTTTAGTCTAAGTGGAAATATTTCGGGCTAATTACTATAGTTAATCTCGTGTATTTACTGTTTCAATTTCAGTTAGACCGTATGCGACCTTTGCTGGGTATTTTATGCTGAAGTGTTTTGAGTGTTTAACGATGATGAGAATAAAGAGGATTTGAAGACGGTCCTTGAATTTTATATTGTTAGCAAACACTTGATATCATTGTTTGAGACTTTGGATCATGTGCTTGGGAGGTCCTCACACCTATTGGACGATTGTATGGTTCAGTTTAAAAAAAAATAAAAAAGACTTTTTACCCGTGCTAATAAATTTTTAAAAAGGTCAGTAAATATATAAAAAATGTTGATAAAAAAGCTACTTTATTTGATTTCTTGATAGCTTATTGTTAATCGACTGACCTATCATGATACAAACTCTTTTTTACAGTGTGCAAATCACAAATTTCGTTTTATTATCTTTTATCAACTTTCAATTGTCTTTCTTACCAACGTCATAAATTTATCAAGTTTCATTTGAATTTACCAATCCTTATTTGAGGGACCGATCAACTTTTTTTTTCTTCAATTAAACTTCCAACTAATCTTAGCGTGGCGAGTGTGACTTCCAACATATTTTTAGTAAGAGATGTCGTGATTTGATAGATTAAATGCTTCCCCACTCGAACGAAGACCCTTCAATCAATCTTAGGCTGTAGATAAGTTAAAAATAGTTTGTTCTCTTATAATCCCTTCAATCTTAATCCGTGTGGACCAACACTGGTCCTAGTCAATGATATTTTATGGTGCTCCTAGGTTGCAAATTGTTTGCTGTTATCTCCCAATTGCTTATCGTCGACATGCATCGACTTAGAATAGACTCATCTCCTTTTTCTTTGTCGAATCTCAATCATTTAAACCAAGTCTATCAAGTTCTCTAAAAGTTACTTCTTTGTTAATACTCAATAATTGTTCGACAACCGGTAGCTTTTACTTAATTATTATTATTTTGGTCAGATTTTAATTAATTATCTGCTAACCGGTGTTTTCATAAGTTTTTGCGGAATTATTCGACGCACGGGAACATGATAGATCTCTACTTTAACTAAGTTTACAAATATTACTAATGGCACCGATTTGTCTGCGATTTATCATGTGTTTTTTTTTGGCTTATTTTAAGCAAAAAGAATTGTTTAATGACTTTTTTTAATCAAAATTTAAAATATTATCAAATTTTAGAAATTATAAAAAAATTATGAACAAATCTAGTTGTTAATATTCGTTTAGTCTCGACTTGAGTTGAATAAATGTCAATTTACATGAATAACAAGATTTGGAAAGAAGTAAAATTGAACGTCATTCCACAAGTTAAGATTGCGATCAACATTTAGTGGTCACTTGCTATTAGCTCGCTCTCTCTCTCTCTCTGAGAAGAAAAGTACAATATGAGAAGATTCATCAAATAGATAAACAATTATATTTCCACACTCACGCATGGAATAAAGATTGACCTTGCTCGTCACCAACTTTCTTTGCAATCAAATTGCTCCAATTAGAAAATTTCACATTCGACTTCTATGAATACAACTAATGCATTCCCTCGTTCTCCATTGCACAAACATATCTCTTCATTATTGTTCAAATGTCTTTCAAACTTGCAAAAAATTTCTCCACATGCTTGATATTTGTCTTGTGTACATGTCCATGCACCTTGGATGTCGCGTCTCGTACCTACGACATGTCGTTCGTGACTAAAAAGTTCGAGGAGTAGATGACTTGACACAGGCTGACTACACGGATGTGGGCAAGAAGGCGAAGCATTTGAAGATTTTTCTGGAAAGTCTGTGCTTCTTTGAGGATTTCAATGGTGCGGCGAATCAGACTTACAAGGTTCGATTGAACGAGTTCTCGGATTTAACCAATGAGGAATTTATGGCAACATATACTGTATACAAATTGCCACCATCGACACACAGTAACTCCTCCCAAGTCCATTCTTTTGAGTACGAAGATTTGAGTAGCATTCAGGATGGCATCGATTGGGTCAAACAAGGTGATGAACCCTATATGGAACCAAGGCCAATGTAGTAAGAAATTTACTGCTGACTTAAGGCATGAATGATAACCATTCAGTTTCCCTATTTTTTTTTTCTCGGGAACATGTTTGGAACAGAAATCCGTTTGGTAAACTAATTTCATTTTTCTGTTTCCAGGACAAATTTTTAACCTAGAAATAGGTTTGGAAGAAAAGTGAGAAGTTGAAACTTTTTATTTTTTTATTTCGGGAACAGAAATAGAAATAATAACTTTCTTTTATTCTTCGCCCTCGCCGTCCGTCGTCGCCCACCCGTCGGCTACCGCCCAACCACCGCTTGCCGGTCATTCGCCGTCGCCCGTCCATCGCTCGCTGGTCTTCTGCTGTCGCCCCTACTCACCCACCGGCCGCCCACCGCTAGCTACCGTCGCCTGCGTTCGCCGGCTAGCCGCTTATCAAACGAATTTCTATTACGGGAACAAATATTTTATGTCGTTATCAAACGCTACTTTTTACTGAGAAACTCGTTCGGGTAATAGAAACAAAATTTTCTATTCTAGCCAGAAATAGGGTCAGGGAAGAGAAATTTTATTACTCGCGCCCTTAGAAGCCTATTCTAAGATATGTCAACAATTATTGCTTTGCTTTATCTTTCTTGTCATAAACTCATCCGGGTAATAAAATAGATTTTTCTATTCTAGCCAGAAATAGGGCCGGGAAAGAGAAATTTTATTATTCGCGCCCTTAGAAGCCTATCCTAAGATATGTCAGCAATTATTGCTTTGCTTTATCCCTCTTGTCATAAAAGAATGAATCTTAGGCTCCGTTCGTTTGACGGAAAATATTCTCCCGGAAAATATTTTCCTGGTTTTCCGGTGTTCGGGGGGCGGAAAACGTTTTCCGTGGAAAAATATTTTCCTTCCCCCCCTCACAAAATAATCTAAGTCTACGGAAAATGACTTTCGCTTTTTCAAAAGCGGAAATCATTTTTCGGAGCTTCTTCTTCTTCTTCTTCACTAAGGTCGCCGGCCGCCACCGCCGGTCGTCGGCCGTGGCCGCCACCGGTCGCCGCGGCCTCCGCCGTCGCGCCGCGGCTGCTGCCGGCCGCCCGTCTGCCGCCGCCGCCGGCCGCCGGACGCCGGACGTTGGCCGTTGGTCGCCGGTCGTCGCCGCCGCCGCCGGGACGCCGGACGTTAGCCGCCGGGCCGCCGGCCACGCCGGCCGCCGGACGCCGCAGCTCCCGCCGCCGCCGGTCGCCGGACGCGGCCGCCGCCGCCGCCGGACGCCGCGGACGCCGCCGCCCGCCGCCGCCGCGGGCCGGCCGCGGACGCCGCCGCCCGCCGCCGCCGGCCGCGGACGCCCGGCCGCGGGCGCCGCCGCCCGCCGCCGCCGGCCGCGGCGCCGCCGCCGCCGGTCGCCGGACGCCGCCGCGACCGCCGCCCTGTCGCCGTCGAAAAATATTTTCCGAAACTTTTTCATATTGGTCACCGAACACCGGAAAATTATGTTCCGGAAAAATATTTTCCAGGAAAATGACTTCCGGGAAAATATTTTCCAAAAGAAGAATATTTTCCGCCAAACAAACGGAGCCTTATTAGCGAAACAACACACAAATTAGTTGTTCCAACACTTTAGTTTGGCCTCATAGCCACGTGAGCTTCGGCTTGAAGTTTTCTTGATTGAGTTATTGCACTACACGGTTCACTCACTACCCTCTGTGTACGGGATCTTGTCGGTTGTTATTGCTGGCGGTGGCGGCGGAAGCAATCATACAGATCACCTCCGGTGTGCTACTGACAACTTGTAGATTGTGCCACCAATGGCGGCAACCGGGGCTGCCAAGGCAACTGGATGGAGAACGGCTGCGAGTACGTCATCAACAACCAAGGTAACAGCTCCACAATGAACTACCTGCACGTCGGGGTCAACATCACTTGCAATGTGCAGCGCTCATCTATCGCCGAGGCCAAAATATCGGACTACAGGGACGTCCCCCCGAACAGGGATGAAATGCTGAAGGCCGTGGCGAAGCAACTGGTGTCAATAGCGCTGGACTCGAGTGGAGCTGTGTTCCATAACTATGCAGGCGTGGTCTTTACTAGCTGTGTGGGTCCAATCAGAACCACTCGATGACGTTTGTCGGGTACGAGATGCACGCGGACAGGACCAAGTACCGGTAGATAAGGAACTCTTGGGACGTTTCGTGGGGCGAGGGTACATGAGAATTCATAGGGATCCTGGGGTTGTAGGTGTTGGATTCATAATGCAATACTGTTTGTTGTAATCATAAAATGTAAATAGAAATAATAATCCTGAAAAAGCGATAACAAACTAATTCTAACAAACACAACCACCAGACGGAATAAGCATGTTATTTCCTAACTTTGTGCTGCCCATCAACTCAAGAAAGTCCTCGGGCCATCACCATAAAGAGATGTACTCTCGAAAATGAGGAAATGCTTTGAGTGCAAGAGTTGCTTTGCTCAGTGCGATGAGGTAGAGACATGTGCAGAGCCTGTGTGGACTCTTGGCTGAAGTTGCATTGGTCGGCCGTCACAGTCCTTGACTTTGCCCTGCACCCTATGGGAAAAACTGAATAGATTGTAACAAAATTAAATAGGAGGTGAGGTACGGATTACCGAATCTGCTAAAGGCAATCAGTTTCTGCTCATGGTGCTTTGTAGATTTACGAACTATGCTTGTCAAGATACCACACATCGTACTTGTTTGTATTTGCACTATAAAAATGGAACTTAGTTGAACTCTTCTTAAAACCGGCACACTTAAAGAAAATTGAAGTGAAGAGATGTGTTTTTTTTCTTCTACTCTCTATATCTTTTTTTTTTTCTATGGAATGAAGAATAGTTCATTTCCATTTATAGAGTTTGAATGGACATGAACTGAACAAAGACATGAACTAAAGAGATTCATGAACTTAATATATACATGAACTGAAAAGAAATGTCTCGTTTTGTTCACGTCTGTTGATCTATTAACCCATAATTACGAAATTCGACCAAAAAAATAACCATAATTACAACAGATGGTGACCTTTTGTGGACTTGCCTTGAAAGTTTCTTATCCCGATGCATAAATATTATTCTAGGCTAAAATCGGTCGATATGAACTGAGTTTAGTCTAAATGGAAATATTTTGGGTTAATTAC